CTATTCACAGGAAACAGCAGTTAGAGAGCAAGAAAGGAAGGGGAGGAAAAAGAAGACGGAAGAAAACAAATCAGAAAAGGATAAACTATGGTATTAGGAAACACTTCGAGAAGAAGCACTTTTAATTCATTGAAATTCACCACAGGCTGGTTGCAACGGATTGTACCTTCCAGGGCACAGACTCAGAGGACGGGGCATTAGAGAACATACTAACAGGAGATCAGAACCAGACCTGCATAAACCTGCAGGCTTTGAGCTTATTAGGTTTTTTTCTCATTTTCTTCATCTTTAAAATAAAAGCAGTTAAATCATGTACTTGGACTTTTGTAGCCCTAAATGTCACAATTATCAGCAGTATTTCTTTTCAGATTCTTTGTCCTCTAGGCTATGAAAATTTCTTGTCCTCTTTCCAAGACGCTGCAGTTTGAGAACACTGAAAGCTCACCCTGAAGGGACAGAAGAACAGATTTATAACATCCAACGTGTTGTGCTAGTTGATGTTGTACAGAGTGCAGCCCTTCTTTCTGGGAAGTCGGGTGCAGTGTTAAGTGAAGGCCCCAGGGAAGAGTCCACTGGTACTGCCCACAGGGGATGAGGAGGTGGAATAAATCTGTGCAAAAATTTACTGTTTAAATTGAATTTCTGCTGGCTAATTATTCATCCCCAAAATGAAAAAAAAAAAAAAAGGTCAATCTAATATACTCTTGAAACAAAGCAGAAAATTAAAGTTAGCTTTTTGGGGAGAATTCCAAGGATAGTACAAAGAAAAAGAAAAATGGGTAATTGATATTAAGCATGATGTGTCAGAAAAAATCTTGAATGCTTGTAAGTGAACTCTTCTCCGTCATAATTCCTTAAAGATGCATTTTTCCCCAAAGAACGGATATAGGTAATGTCTCTCCTTCCCATTTATTTTGATCAGAAAGCTGGGTGTCAGTTCACTGCCAAATTATTCCAACATTATTACTCCGCTTTCCAGATACAAAATGAACTGTTTCTATCAATGGTTTGAAACGCTAAAAATGCAAATGACTCAGTCTAATTTACCAAACCATGGGGGTGGGGAGGCCACGGGCTCCAATCTCTGATTTTTTCCACTCCGCTGGAACCAAGAAAGCCGCCTGCACAGGTATCACCAATTCTTTGCACAGAGAACTGGGGCTTGGGTTTTCCAGCTCATCGTATCAGGCTGAGAGAGAAGCTTTATCCTACATTATTTGGGCATGGAGTTGAGCAATGACCTTCATGAGGAAATCCAATTCCCGGAACTAAATAGAAGAATTGAAAAACAGAGAGGAAGCTCCGTGGCTCTAAGTGGTACTGTGGAAAGCAATTTATTGGAAGTGGTTGGACTGTAATTAAATTAGTGAAGAGGATGGTCTCAGTTACTGCGGTCAGATGGAGTTGCCCTGGGAGATTCTACGATGTGAAATACCCAGATGGAAACCGAGCCCAGCCACTGCCAGGGAGGCCTGTGGAGGAAGAGAAAGATGCTTTGGATCTGCTCTTCAAATCCCCCCTGGGAAGAGACACGGTGTCAAGACCAGGTCAGCCTCACAGAGTCCTGTTCCTTAGGGCGGTAGCACTCACACCCAGAACTGTGACAAAGCTGTCAGGGGACTGATTTAGTAATTGCCCACTTTTAACCCCAACTCACACACTCCATATCCAGCCACTTCTGAGAAAGCCCCCACCTATGACAGCATGAGGCTTTGGGGGGACATCTAGACACAAATCCTGCTGTGTGCAGGATTAAGCATGGAGGTCCTTGCTATCATTTTTTTACTAGATATACAGGCAAGATAATTAATCAGCAAGAAACTTTATAGGATGCATGCACCATGGAAGGTTGCATGCCCAGAAAAGAAATGTTGGTTTCACCTAAATTGTGTGGGCAAAAGCAGGGGCAGGTTGCTGAGTCAGGCGACACTGAGCCGAGATGTGGGGAGGCATCACGTGAGTTTCAGGAGACGCTGATTTCCGCCTCCTCCTTCTCAGCTACTGACTGGGAAAGTCCCTTCCCACATCACTTGGATCCTCAATTTTTTCATCTGAAAATGAAGGTGGTAGACCAGAAGTTGCTAGGGTCAAGCATACATGAAGAGCTTTTAAAACTCAACAGCTAAAACTTCTCAAAAAGTAGGGAAAGGGCAAAAGACCAATAGACATTTCACTGAAGGGGACGTACAAATGGCAAGAAAGGCCATGAAAGGATGATTCTACATCTTTGTAGAACTACACAACTTCCTAGAAGGGCTAAAATGCAGGGGGGGTGGGATGTGATACCACCAAATGGGACAAGGATCTGGAGAACCCAGATCACTCACATACTGCCAGTGTGTTTGTAAAATGGTACAGCCACTCAAAAAGTGTGATTTCTTAAAAGAACAAAAAAACTAAACATATGCTCACCATATGACCCAGAAACTATATTCTTTCGGCATCTATCCCAGAGAAATGAAAACTTATGCTCATACTAGGAGCTGTGGATGACTGTTCAGAGCAGATATATGTGTAATGGGAAAGAAAGAAAGAACCCAACTATCCTAGGATAATTGAATGACTAAACAAACAGTACTACATCCATACTATGGACTAGAGTTCAGAAATAAATAGTTCAGAAAATAATAGTTCAGAAAACTATTGACTTATGCAACCACTTAGGTGCTTATCCAGGGAATCGTTAAGTGAAAAAAAATCTCCAAACCTTATATATTGCATCATTCAATTTATGTAACATTCCTAAAGTGACTTAGGGCTTTAAAAATCAGATCACTGATGGCCGGAGGGGAGGCTGGGAGGAGGGGATTCAGGGAGGTGGATGTGGCTATAAAAGGGAGACAGGCAAAGCCTTTCCAACGAAACTGTCCTATATTTCATTATGATGGTGGTCCATGGATCTACGCATATGATAAAATTCAAAATAACTGAACATACATAGGAAATACAACAGCATACACAAAATGAGTAAAATGTAAGATTACCACTCTATCACCATCAGTCTCCTAGCTGGGATACCTTACAATAATTATGCAGGGGGGAAGGAGATAAAGAAAATATGAATTATTTCCCATAATTTCATTTGAATCTCATTATCTCTAAATCTGACAAAATTATTTAAAAATAAGCCCTAGTATCAGAAATACCTTTAATGCTGTAAATCATAAATAAGGAAAATGATCATCACCCTTCCACTCCCAGCCATCTGGATGTTAACTGAACAGAAATTCATTTTTGTAAATGCATAGTAGTCATGTATCACATGCCAGGCATTCTGCAAGAAGCAGGTACCAAGTGACAGGTCAGGAATGATCTTTGTCCACAGAGAAATTACAGCTTTCAGAGGAAGCCAGGCATTAGACAAATATCCATCTAAACAATAAGCCAGGAAGGCTTGTGGTGTGCACACACAGGGAGGACCCACCATGCCTAGGTGGGTACGGAAGAGACTCCCTGAAGGAGAGGAGAGACCATGGAAGAGCAAGAAGCCACTAGGGGGTGGAGGAAGAGATTGTTCCAGGAGCAGGAAATGCACTAAACCCTGGAGGGCCATGTGGTCAACCAGGGATTGCACCAGCACCAGACAGAAGACAGAAAGGCAGGCACAGCTGGATCATGGGAGGCTTCCAGGGTTGTTAGCCTCTCGCTGAGAAGCAGAGGGAAGAGAGGGGAAAGGTTCCGGCAGTGTGAGAGGTGGCTGCAGCTGCAAGAGCTATAGAAGCTATTTTCAGAACCTTGTGATTACAATAGCAATTCAGCGCTGGAATAAATTACAACAGCGCTTGAGGGAGCATTCTTTCGGAAGAAACTGAGTTGACTGTTAAGGAAGATAAATAACTCACTTCACGTGGGAAAGTATGCAGACGAGAGCCTGGGTGGGAGGAGGGACGGGCTGTAAATCAGAGCAGAGCAGGGACGCCAGACACAGCCCGTGTCCCCGGTTTCTGGCCTTTGAAGTAGGGAGAGTAATCATGTTGCTCCTTTTGTCGCAAGCAGGAAGGCTATTTTGCAAGGCTACAGGAGCATTTTTCAACTGCCGCTTAACTTCACTAACGTAGGATGGTACAACAAGATTTCTAAAAGGCAAGGTGCTCATCAGGTGGGCACCCCACAAGGCAGGGGAGGGAGAAGAATGGGGTCCTCACGTTTCACAAAATGACAAGGTGCTTTTTCCTTTGCCTGCAGTCTCCTGCTTCAGGCTAGGCTGTGTGACTCTCTTTAATAATTCCTGGTACTGAAGAACAAAGTTACACCAGACTAGAGAAGCATGTAAAGTCCACTGTGGCAATGGCCAATTGCATTTAATTATTCATAATTATATGAATGGTTTTTGAGGGCTACTGTCATGCTACTATTTGTGTAGCGTTTCACACATGTAACTGATTTTGTTTTTGTTTTTTGTTTTTTGAGACAGGGTCTCACTATGCAGTTCAGACCGGCCTTGAACTCACTATGGCTGGTCTTGAATTCGCATCGATCCTCCAGCCTAAGCCTCCCTAGTGCTGGGATTATACGTATGTACCACCATGCCGAGCGTCACCCATGTAACTTTTAGGACAGTAAGAGTGCAAATGTTTATTGACAAGTTATTGAAAAGTAACTGCCAATCACCATTAAGTAGCCAGAACCTGATGATGAATCTCATGGACCTCAGTCACTTAGCAGAGAGGTGAGAGGGAGTCTTACTAAGGTACAGAACCCCTAGTATGCATGTATATCAGACTATAACTGAAGGAAAAATGGGAAATAACCCTTTACCTGTATTGAAACATTTCTAAGTTATCCTAAAACTCAGTAAAGCCCAAATACTTGTTAGTTTGGGCCAATTAATAATCGATCTGAAAGGATTATCAAGCAAAAGTTAAACAAATTGAGAGAGAGAAAGGGATCAAAAAATGAGCAAGATACTATTTATATATACTAATCTTCCAAACAAGTTACTTATTCTATATTACAAATATATGCAAATAATTTTTTTAAATTAGCAGAAATACCTGAGTGGTATGGATTAAGAACTGGTGGTCAACTTAACACCAGCTGGATTACATCAGCATGGCACTGAGCGAAGATGCTCCACCTGAGGAAAGTTGCCAGCATAAATAGAGAGGTGGAGAAGAAAAAAGAAGGCGTTAATGCATTGAGGCATTGAGGCATTGTGGGTTCTCCTATGAGTTGCTGTTTGAGCCATTGGTTCTCCTGGAGAAGCTCTGGTCCTGGCATTGAGGCTTGCTTCCTGGCTTTGGAGGGGAAGACATGTGCCGCTTGGTCTCCAGGATGAACTCCTCATGTTGGCTTGCTGGCGTATACTTGACTGTGCTTACCGTTGTCAGAGCTTGGGGCCCCCATGGCACTGAGGATGGCTGTGGTGCCTTTCAGGACAGCCCTGGTCTTTGTTGTGAGTGTGACTTCTCGGCTCCAGGGTAGAACCCTCATCCCACCAGCACAGCTCCTTCACCCTGCTAGCATGGACTTTCTGGCCTCCACTGCTGACCTTTGGGCCTTCCCAGCACGGATCCATAAAAGAGACTGGTGTGAGTCCTTGTGGGCTCTGGACCTCCAGCTGGACTCATGGGAGGAACTGTCATGAGCTCTGAGTTTTCATCTGGACTCATGTGGGACATTGCTGTGGGATTCAAGCCCTTGACTAAATATTCTGTGTTTTTGGTGTTTCAGATAGATTTCCTGCATTTTCTTATGTTAACTCCCAGTGACTATTATAAAAATAATATTATAAACTCCATGTCCTGATTCTAATTGTTCTCTGCACAACCCCTGACTACAACACTGACTATGCCCAGATACTGTGCTAAAGAATAATGCATCATTTCAAAAGTATTTGATGAAAACTACCACTGAAAAATCCTTTATTCAGTATAACCAGAGCTGGGTATTTCCATATGGACTATGGAAATTATAACTGCAGTGCCTAGGAGAGCATGATTATCTCTATGAATAAAACATCATGAGACACTGGATGTATCTAGTAGTACTTGAACCTAAACTTTCAATCCTAACATCTTATGTGGGCCTGTATTTAGTATTCCCCATAGCTACACCTTCTCAAGTCCCTTCCATTCACTGAAGGCAGGCCTAGACTAAGTTAAAGGAAAATCGGCTGGGACTCTATTGAATGGCAAGAAGATCAGTAACCAGCAACACCCGTGAGGTTGGCATTCTGTGGGCCCTCTGTGGGTGCGCGGTTGGCATACAATCTAGGGAAAAACAACTCTGAGGCTGTGACTCACCAAAGAGAGGGTTGCTTGCTACTGCAGAATAAATGTGGGCCATCAAGCCTGGCTCTCCAAACTCAATATCAGTTTGATCCCATCTTTTTGCATTCACACAGAATTCGAGTCTTCTTTCTCCTGGGTTCATGAAACAGCATCAGCAGTAACCCATGAATAGCACTCTTTGGTTTTCTCCTTGACTTTATTTATTTTTATAATAATCTCTGGTGACTACCTGATCCATGAATGAGAACCTGGTTGGTAACTTCAACTCTTGTTCCTTTATCTACCCATCCACCCTGAGATGACCTCCATCACGAATTTTCTTTTTCTCATTTCTTAACCACAAGAAAAATAAATATTAGGTGTAAACAGCTTACGCCTACACAACTTTTTTAGGGGGGTACTGGGAATCGACCTCAGGACCTCATGTTTGCCAGGCAGGTACTGTGCCACTGAGCTATATCCCTGACCACTCCCCAAACAACTTATTTTTGAACTTTATAAAGTTACAGTTTGTATTCTCCTAGAATTTGCATTTTTTTAGTCAGGCTTGTTCATCCCTGTTGTTACCTGTAGTAGGAACCCTTTCACTTTCTCTGCTGTGTAAGACAGCAGCATGAATAATGCACAGTGTTCACCATTTGTGTGATCCCTGGCTTTTTTGCTGTAATGAGCAGGCTGTGTAGACATCTTATACACATCTGGTCATACATCTATAAGAAAATTGACAAGTACAATTGAAGACATACAGGTATGTCTGTTATAAAATTATTTAAAAGTCAAACATCAAAGAGTCTACAAAGACCAAGTGTTGGGATGATGAGAACTGGGGAGATCTATGTCTCTTACCACAGGAGTGTAAATACACGTGCCACTGAAGCCACCTTGGCATCATCCTTAAAGCTGAAAGTGGGCACACCCTGCAACAAGTCTCAATGCACGTTGAATGAATGACTGAACAAGCAATCACCCAGCAAGTCAGCCAAGATACTTTCTATCTTTTCTAATTTTGTCCCCTACCAGTGTTCTGGGGACTTCTCCATATTCATGGGTGCAGGTTTTGGCCCAAAGAATCACATGGATTCCCCAGCTGAGGACCCCCCCACATCATGCCACATGACATCTTTTAGGACAACTAAGAAGCTAATAAACCTCAACATTCAATGTTTTAGCAGGCCTAGTAGGAGCTACATGTATGTTTATTACTGTTGATTTCCTTCAGAGCTCTTGGAGGAAAATGTGACTTTTTGTATAATTCAAGAGTTCTTAGTCATTTGACCAGATATTTCTACACTTCTTCCATCTTGATATGAGCTCAAATATTTGTTTTCCTAATACATATCTTAGATTTTGCCTTGGGATATCTCTCATAGTGGAAGATAAGACTTCAGTGAGTTCTGCTCTGTCCCAATCATCCTGCAATCAGCTAAGTCCTGAGCCCCCTTGGGAGGCTAGCTTTACCCAGCTGTGTCTGCTGTGGCCATAACAACACCTAAAAATAGTCCTGAGCTCCAGCCAGGGGAGCCCTCCAGTGTCTCCTTTAGTCAACATCCTCCTCCGAGAGTTCTGACCTCACTAATTGTCAGGGCCTGTTGATCCTCAGCCGTTTCCACTTCCTCCCCTTCAGTCACAGCCTTCAAAGCTATCAACAACTATGGGCTGCATGTGTCCCCAAAACCCATGTGTTGAGAACAACTCCTGATGCAACGGAGTTAGGAAGCAACGTGCAGTGAAAAATGATTATACCATGAGGATGGAGGGAATGGATGAGTGCCATCAAGGCAGGAGTGAATGCCTTATAAAAGCTTGGCTCCCCTTAGCCTCTGCCTCTCAGCCTGCCTTTGTCCTTCCTCCATCTGATGCCTTCTGCTATGTTCTAGCATAGCAAGAAGGTCCTCTGTATATGTCAGTCTCTTGGTCTTTGTAGCCACCAGAATCATGAGCTGATGAATTTCTGCTCTGTTCATCAGCCGGTCTGTGATGTTCTGTTATAGTAGCACAAAGTGGCCTAAGACACCAAATGTCATGGTTTATGTTTGTGTCCCCCAGGCCTCATGAGTTTGCATTGTTCATTTGTGATGGTTCATTGTATAGTGCTTGGATTGATGGTGTCAGTGCTCCACCCACATAGGGGTGGAGCCAGGATGTGATGTAATGGCAGGAAGAAGGTGTGTTTTTCTCTTTGCTGGTTTGAGTTTGCTGTTGGCGGCCGCCATGAACTGCAGCCCAGCCATGCCTGCTCGTCTTGGAGCCAACTGAGTATGGACTGAAACCTCCAAAAACTGTAAGAAATAAACCTTTCCTTTCCCAGCCTTGGGCTTCAGGTATTTTGTCTCAGCAATGAGTGAAAAGTAACTAAGACACCAACCAATGCTCAAATAGCCCACGTGGCTCTTTCTATGCTTCCCCTCCTTGCTCCGTCCAAAAATCTCTCTCACATCTTGTATCATTATCCACTCATCCAAAGCAGGTTCTGCCACTGATTTTATCACTGATTTCCTATCTGTGGCCATCAGAAAGCTGGTGGAAACTTTCCTCCTAAGTCAGAGTCAAACAGTAGACATTGCTGTTTGACTGGCTGTTGGCTCTGGAGTTCACCATCAGGTATTCCCTCTAAGACTAGAAGGATGTGGGGATGTGATTGGGATTTGGTGAAGTGGTCATTGCATGGACCCTTGAGCACAGTTCACATTGCTGTCTCCACCAACCAGAAGTCATCAAAGCAAGTCCTCTTCCAAATTCTAGGGAGATCTGTGTCTTGGAAATCCAAGGTGTGTTGCTCATGGGTTTCCTGTAGAGTGCTTTGAGTGGGACTTGGGCGTCCCACAGAGCACCTGGAGACTCCGTTTGCTGTGTTCTGGGTCAAGGAGGGGACAGAAAGGACAAGAGGACAAGTAAGAAGAGAGGGAGATCAGACTCAGGTAGCAGAGCTGGAGAGGGGTCACACACTAGTCCATGCCAGCCGCAGGATCATCAAATTTCAGAACTGAAAGTGACCACAGAACTTGTCTAATTTAACCAGCTCATCTTACAAGTAGGAACAATCAGACCACAGAGAGGAGAAGACTTGCCCAAGGTCACAGAACTGTCAGGGGACAGAAGATCCTTCAAACTACAAAGTGTTTCTTTCTCTACATATATTGTGGGGGGAAGGGCAGACAATAGGAAAGAAATAAGGAAAACTGTTGGATTAAATCAAGCAGTTTATCATAGCAGAGGAAATGCTTGCTGTGTCAAGGTTCAAAAATAATGCAGAAATGTAACAAATATGATCATAATAAAATTAACCAAGGGTCAACGGTCTCCCCCAGGCAAAATAGCATTTTTATTTTACTTGCTTTTGCATCATTAATGGAGGTATGCTTTCATGAGAAGAATAACGTTTTCCGCCTTCTACTCCTCTATATTTCCATTCTAATGCCATCTTCCTTTCATAGTGATTTTAAATATATGTGGCTTATGCTTTGACTTAGACTTCTCAGTCCCCATTGAAGTGTATAGAAGGAGACAGTGGGTGAGGCAGTCCCCGCCAATCACAGCAACCCACAGGCTTTCGCCTTGACTCACAGGAGTGAACCGTGGAGCAGTAAGGAGATGCCTACTCTGTCCCTTTTCCTCTTTCCTTATTTGAGAAGCCGACTTTAAAATCAAAGTTATTTTGAGCATGGTGGCACATACCCGTAGTCCCAGCACTCAGGAGGCTAAGGCAAGAGGATCGTCTCAAGTTCAAAGCCAGCCTAGACTACATCAGGGGCCAGTCTGAATAATACAGCAAGACCATGCCTGAAAAATAAAAATAAAAAATTTAAAAACCCAAGTTATTTAATTCTTTCATTTCAAAGCCATAGACAGATTTTAATGTTTCCAACAATACTAAATGCTAAAACACAATTGTCTCTTCCAGTCCCCAAATTTTTCCCTTTTTTTTTTTTTTTCATTGCTGGAAATCAAACCCCAGGATCTCAGTTATGCTAGGCTAGCATGTAACCTTTGAAGTACATCACCAGCCTTCTTTCATTTTTAAATCTTAGATTGATCTGCGGTACATTTTAACAGAAGGAAAGATGTAGATTGAATTTGCCCAGATAGCTACTTTGGTCAATGGTATTTATTTAATGGTCCATCTTTTTGCCAGTAATCTTCATTGGAAGCTGTCTTAGGAGATACTGTTGCCTAAAGCTGTTGAAGCTATGTTGGGTCTAATAGAGACAATGAGAAAACTTACAAAGGTATCCAACTTGTATTCTTACAGCACTAAAGTTTTGTGTATACTTTAGGGCTAATCTCTTCCAGACTCGTCATTAGACAGAGTAACAAAATGTCTATTTGTGGTTTGAGCCCAAAATATCCCTACCCCATGCCATAGATCAGCATCATATTTGAATAAAATCTATCAGTACTCCAAAATCCCTTTTTCTGCTATAATGTGCTACCTATCTTCCTCCGTAAATAAGGACCAATTTTCCTTGAACTATTTTAAGTTTTTGAAAAGAAGAAACATTCTGTGGATGTCACCTTATTTCTCTCAGGCCATTCTGTTAGTTCAGATCATTTTAAATTTTACTCTGGTCTTAAACACATCATCTTAGTACCTTATCAAATTTAATTAATATCATTTTCATTTTTTCCTTTTCTTATTAATCATAATAGAGCTTTAGAGTTGCCTCCAAGGCAACCTCAGTGAAAAACCACTTTAAACCTCAGTGGGCCTCCTCCACATGACTTCAGAGGACTCCACAGAGAAACACAGTAGTGGAACAGAGAAATGGATGCTTTGAACTACAATGGCTGGTGAGTGACTCTGGTCCCTGCATCCCCTGGAGAGGGAGCTTTGCCAGGTGTCAGCTTAGGGAGGGGCCATCTGAATGCAGAACTCAAGGCAGCCATGCATTGGCTTCCACGTAGGGAAGCAGTAACTGGATGAAGCACAACCATGGAAGATGTCCAGGGTCAGAGAATCAAGATCAGGCTGGAAAGGATACCTGGAGTGTTGTAAGCTGAACAACTCAGGTCCAAACCCATGATCAGAGGCCAAGATCAACCTGAACTCTTGTGGAGTTAAAACAGAAAGAATCAGCATCCTGCCCTATTCCTACGCAGGCTTGATGGGATCATCCAGGATGGATCAAGACTCTGTCTGCCTCTTTTGTCTACCAGAGATAGTGATGATATACCTAGAATTAGACATTATTATGAAACTGTAGACCCCAGAAAATGACAGGCTTGAAATCACAAAGAAATCTGTCTCTGTCTCTCTCTCAGTTTTTTACTTTATTTTCTCTTTTCTTTGTTGATGTGAACATTGATTTTAGGGATTTGGAGGTTATATTTAATTCTTGTCTTTGCTTTTTTTCTTCATTGCTGACTTTGTTTTTTTTTTTAATTTAAAGAGAAAGAAACAAAAAATACATGGAGAAAAAAGGGGAAGAAATCACCAGTTGATAAGTTACATATTGTCATCTTGGAAATAGTTGGTCAGGTTACAAAATTAAAGTATGTAAAGTGACATTCAAATAGTGACACTGCCAACAGTTCTGTTTAATAATCTAACAAAAACTTTGTAATACAGTTATCAGTCCTACACACTTGTTTTTATCTTAAAGAGGATAAAATTAAAAATATCAAAACAGAACAAAACAGTTCAAAAAGAAACAATTTAAAGAAATACAGATTTCAAAGCAAGTCCACTGGAGATCTTCACTGTTTATCTAATTGTCTCTAGTTTTCTTCCAAATAGTTGTCCCCATCTTCATACAATTAAATACGTACTGCATATTATAGAACTAATCAAATCATTACAGGATGATGAAGGCTTTTTAGGTCTTCAAGATCTGACATTGGGAAAGACAATAATGACTACCATAGAGTCTCTCATTCTCTTTGTAGTAGCTGTCCTTATCTTTATGTATGCTGAAATTGAACTTAAGAGACTAGACTAATATCACTCTGAACAGTGAATAATAGTATTGTAGATTTTATATCATAATGCTACAGAATTAGCATTGGGTTTCTTAGTGTCTCTTCTTCTTCAGAATATCTGTTCATTACATCTTGCATTATATAATCTGTTCCTGTAAATAGTTTAAAAAATTCTTCCCATGTGTGAATTTCTGCATGTATATCTATCCTTCCTAGAAAAACATGCAATGAAAAAGACATGTAAGACACAATATTAGGTGATCTACCATAGTTACTATGCTTTCTCTTGATATTTTCAATAGACTTGTTCACATCATTAGGCTTAATATAGTTAAGCATAGTATTACATAGCTATTTTTATAAAAACACAACTTTGAAAACATTGTAGGACTTGAGAGCTGTTAATAATCTAAACCAGCACAGATATCTTTTATATCTTGTCATCTTTGGAGTAGTTGCCTCTACTTTTAGAGCTGATACTATCAAGCATACCAAATTCAAATAAAATCAGCCAAGGCAAAACCACGATCTAACAAATCAGATTCAAATAAGGTCAGTCATAGTAAGACCATGTAAGTAATACAGGGTTTCAGTTTAAGTTAATAGGAAATTAAGGATAGTTACCATGGTATAACCTGCTATTTTTGGGTCAGATGTCTATGCCCTCAAATCTGATATGAATGGACAGACCAAAACAAAATAAATTCAAACTAAACAGAGCGATAAGACTACTGTGACTTTTAAATCCTAAATCACTATTAACAATGACCTCTGCCTTTTTTATAGTGTATCAAAGCTATCTATACTAAAGATTATAGCTTACCATCTCTGCCTCATGTCTGCTACTCCAGTTTACTGCTATAATTTGTCCACCTTACTCCCTCATTCCACTGTCTGCGCCATTCATTGAGGCCACTCTGCTACTGTTGCTGTAATCCTGGTATCCCTTTCCTCTCTCTCTCTCTCTGGAATGTCCTTCAGCACTCTCTGTAGGGTTGGGTTGGTGGAACTCCCACAGTTCCTCCTTGTCTTGGAAACATCTTATTTCTCCATTAATGTTGAGAGAGTTTTTCTGGGTATATCAGTCTTGGTTGCAAATTATTTTCTCTCAGGGCTTGGATAATTCCCCCCCAGGCCCTTCTCGATTTGAGAGTTTGTGTTGATAAGTCTGTTGTCATTTTGATAATTTTCCCATTGTAGGTTATCTGCTTCTTTTCCCTGGATGCTTTTAGTATTCTGTTCTTTTGGTGTATTTCTGGAATCTTGAGTATTATATGTCTGGGTGTAGATCTGTTTTGGTTGTAGGTGGCTGAAGTTCTGTGTGCCACATTTATCTGAATATCATTTCTTTTTCCTATGCTTGGGAAGTTTTCCTTTAATATATCTGTGAAATTCTTTGTATTTCATTTTTGGTTACTCCTGCTTCCTCACTCATGTGCTTTATTCTTAAGTTATGTATCCTTTTGTTGTCTTCTAGCCTTTGAATTGTTTCTTTCTGGTTCCTCATTATTTTTAAGAGGTCTTTTCTTTCATGATCATATATCATAAATTTCCCTTCAAGTTTCAAAAGGCTAACTTTAGTTTCTGTCAAGGCATTTTGCCGGTTTTCAATGGAGTTTTTAGTTTCCTGGTAATCTCTTTGGAGCTGTTTCATGTATTCTAGGTTATGTTTAAATTCTTCATCAAAAGTTTCTCTTTCTTTCCTGATTTCTTCCATTCTTCCATCTGTGTTCTCTTGGGTGGGGCTTATCATTTCTTTAATTAACCTCTTTATATCTTGCTTCACTTGGATCAGAAGTACAGTTTTAAATTCATCTATGTTGAAGGTATTTATTTTGGCTGATGCTGTGTCTAGTATTAGATGGTTACTGTACTGATTCTCTTCTGTGCTTACTTCTCCTGGACTTATTTTCCCAGGTTCAGCAGCTGGAGAATTTTTTTATTTCTATCTCATGTCATGTTTCTGGTTTCTTTCAGACCGGGGTATCCTGGGGGTTTCTGGCCCTGTCCATATTGCTTAGGGTCTTTCCAAAGCATGCTGACTGGAGTTTTTGCTGCCCTCCCCAATTTGCTGTTATCTGAGGTAGGCAGGGATGCAGGAACAGTGAAGGCTAGCCTGCAGCCTCTGTGCCATTCAATCTGCAAGTTAGGCTGTACCTTGTGGATGTCACAGAGTCGAGACTATTTTGTATCTGCTTATTGGGTCCCAACCAGAGGTGTGGTTCAGCCCCAGCAGACCCTGCCAGTTCTCTCTGCATCAGAAGTGGCTGACTGATGTCACTGTGGCACAGGGCTCTGCCCAATTCCAAGATGTCCTCCACCAGTCCTCTCTGTGTCACTGATGCCACCGTGGTACTGGGCTCTGCCCAATTCCAAGATGTCCTCCAGCCAGTGACTGCAGCTGCGGGACCCAGTCCCTAGTACTCTCTGGCACTCAATGCAGATCTTCCTCTTGGGTCCACTGCACACTGCACCCCTTGTCTTCACTGTGTTCCCAGCACAGCGCAGATCAGTCAGAAAACTGCACGGTGTCTGGCTTTGGAGCTCTAGAGCTTGTCGCAGTCTCCTCCGGCGCAGCCAGGTGGCTTTGGCTGCTTTGCAGGGTCCCAGGTCTCAATTTCCAGCAGTTGCCAAGAACCAGTACAGCTTTTCCCCTTGGATCCACTGCTCACTGTGCCGCATTAAGGGTCTGAGATTTGCAGACTCCCGTTATCGGTAGCCACAGTCTCAGCACAACCTTAAATCCTCTGGGTGCGCAGGGCTCAGTGAGTATATTGGGCTTCAGCTCTCCATCCGTGCTTTTCCTTCCTCTTCCTAGTTTTATTTTTCCCTTCAGTTACTGCCTTAGTTAATAAGAATTATTA